CACCAGAGCAGCAGCGCGTCCCGGGGGGAGCGCGTCTCTGGGCCCTCCTTCATCTCCTTGATGACATCCTGGATCTGAGGGACAGAAGGACAGCCTGGGTTATCAGAGGACAGCGGCGGGGGATGGCTTCTGTTTGGGTGCTGAGCCCATGGGTGCTGCCCAGCCCACCTGGAAGCGCAGGATGATGGTCCAGATGAGGCCGAGGATGAGGCGGTGGTTGCCGTCCACGATGTCGTGGGAGCCCATGTTCTCCAGGTGCACCTGCTTCTCCTTCAGGAACTGCAGCGCCTTGTCCACGTTCTCCAGGCAGTGGATCCGCATCCGGCCCTTGGTGGGCTTGGGCTGGGGCGTGACAGCGCTCAGCACCCTGCCCTCACCCCCAGGCACCCCATGCCCTGCCCAAGGACACCCCGCCACCATCCCCACCCCGGCCTGATGCCAGCCGCGGTTTGGCAGCGCACGGCACAGCCGGAGGGGACTCGTACCAGCATCTCTTTGGACAGCACCTCCAGCAGCTTGATGAGCATCCGCCCGTCCCGGAGGTCCAGGTAGAGGTCTGAGATGCGGCAGGTGACGCAAGCCAGGTGCAAGTTCACCCACTTGGTGAAGGTTTTCTTCTGCACCGCCTCCCGCTCGTCTGCAATGACAGCGGGCACGGTGGCACCGGGAACAACCCCGCGCCACGCGCCAGTGGGGACCACGGGGACCCCAAAAACCATCCCCGCACCTGCCAGGGCTTTGATGCGGGAGCGCTCGAAGAGGCGTGCGGAGCTGTTGTCGTTGTCCAGCTCATCGTCAGAGGCGTCCCAGAGGCTGTAGGAATGCGACTGCTGCACCTCCATGTGGTCGTAGTCGTTCTCCGAGGTCATGGTCCCGGCGTCCCGCGGCCGGGCGGCCGTCGGCTGCAGGGAAGGGGCTGCTGTAGGGTGGTGGGGACACGGGCACGGGCATTGCCGCCCCGCCACGCGCTGGGATTTGTGGCTAAGACCTGCTGGTTAATCGGCTCAATGGGATTTAGCGCCGTGCCCCAGGTGTTTCGGGGCACGGAGGTGCCGCGCACTCGAGGAGCCCCCAGTTGTTGTCACCCTGTGGTGGCTCACGCTGCTGTGTCCCCGTGTGGGTGCCTCGTGTCCCCATGGACACCCCCAAGGGACACGGGGGCTGCGGGCACCCACCCCACGCCTGCACCGAGAGGGGCTTCGTGGGGAGAGCTGGCAACAGCTGCCAGCGGGGGGGGGCCGGGAGGGGACACCCGCCCCCGGGGACATTTGAGACGCAGATAGGACTAGGATGGGCCGGTATCTAAAAATGCCTGCCAGCAGCTGCCGGGAAGGCGGGGGGGGCTGCGCGGCCTCCCTGGGGCCCCCGAAGGGTGCAGGGAGCCAGGCTGAAGGCTGCCACCTCCAGCACTCGCTTGGACCCCCCCTTCTCCCAACAGCACCCCTCCAAAATCCTGGCACCCTCCTTGCTCTATAGGGTGCGCCCAGCCGGGCACCCCAGGGCCTGAGCAGCCCCCCCAGGGTGACCCCTCCAAACCTGGAGCCTGTGGGGACGCACAGGGACACTGGGGAGCACAGGGGTGACCCCCAGGGCTGCAGGGGGGGAAAACACCCGTATGTGGCGGGGGGGGGGCGTTATCGGGGGCCGGCAGGGCTGGGCGCTTTCTCTGCACCCTAATCTCGGCAGCGCAGGCAGGAGTTTGGCTCGGGAGCAGGCATGCACACAAGAGTGTGCAAGGGCATGCCAGAGCGTGCACATGCGAGCAAGGGCATGCCAGAGCGTGCAAGAGCAAGCACGTGCTAGCAAGGACGTGCAAGAGCACGCCAGAGCGTGTAAGAGCGTGCAAGAGGGCACATGCGTGAGCATGGGCACGCAAGAGCATGCAGATGCGAGCAAGGACATGCAGAAACGTGCCAAGGCATTCGAGAGCGTGCACACGAGTGCAAGGACATGCAAGAGTGTGCAAGAGCGTGCACGTGCGAGCAGGTGCACGCGAGGTTGTTTGTGAGCACATGCAGGGCAAGGCAAGCGTGTGCAGGAGGAGCACATGGGGGTGTGCAAGAGCGGGGCACGCAGCCCCCTGCACTGCACCCCCGGCACCCCTTGGCACTGTGCCGCTGCCGGACAGCACCAGGCTCATAGGAAAAAACAAAAACAAAAACAAAAAAAAACCCACAACCATGAGGAACCCCAAATTTTGGGAACCCCCTGGAAGTGCGGGTGTGCCGAGCTGTGCCGCGTCTCGGTGCCTGCAGCAACAGCGGGGAGCGAGCATCCTCCTCCTCCTCCGAGCCTCCGGCGGGGCCCTGGGCGAGCCAACACCGCGCGTTGGCGACGCGGGCGCTCGCCGAGCCTTTAAATCTCCCTCTGCAGCACCAGCGCCGCCGGGAGAACAACGGCGCCCGGCAGGGGCCCCCCGGCGGCTGCTCCACGCGGGGGTTTGGGTCCCAGCACCGCGACCCCGGCGGCGAGCCCCCAGCCCGCGGGCTGCACCCCGCTGCCTTCCCCGGCCGCGGCTCGGCGCCGTGAATCAGCACTTCCCGGCCGGGGGCTGGCACCGAGCCGCCGCCGCCGCCGAGGTCCCCCCGCCGTGCCCGGGCTCCGCGGGGAATGCGGGGGTCCCGCCGCGCCCCCAGCCCCTTCCCCGCTCGCCCGGGCTGCGCGCAAGTGCCAGCCAGCGGCGCAGGAGCGGGCACCATCCACCGGAGCGCAGCGCCCCAAGAAAACACCCTGGGGTGCTGACTCTAAGCATCACCCCGGCTGCTTCGTTTTCCCCAGCTTCATTTTCCCAAAGCAGGAGTGATTTGTGTTTTTCTTTTTCTTTTTTTTTTTCCCTTTCTCGCCCCGCTGCCAACAGAGGGACGGCCCCGCAGCCACCGGCAGCACCGCGGGCGTGCGCCCAGGGCCGGGAGCAGATGGCCCGGCACGGCACGGCTCCGCCGGACCTCCGTGCCCAACGCTGGCCCCACAACGGGGCCAAGCAGGAGAGCCGGGCTGCCCAGGGCTGCCCAGGGCTGGGCTGGATGTCACCGTCACCGCCACCGCCACCGTCACCATCCCAGCCCGGCTGTCCGGTGTCACCGAGCCATGCCGCCGTGGCACACACACGTGCTGGGACGCCGCACGCATTTCTGGCTATAAATAGGCCTGGGCTCAGCCCCGCTCCTACCCCCGGGCGGGGGGCACCCGAACCCCCCAAAATCTCCATGCAAGGCCCCGAAAGCACCCGGGAACGTGGCACGCACGGGGCTGCTGTGCCGGACACCCCGGCAGCGCTCACCCACAGCCATCAGTTATTGCCTCACCAAAGCTCTGATATTTCCCCAAAACACGCGGGACCCTCCCCGGGCACCCCAAATTTTCCCCCCCACCCCAATGCCACAGCCGGAGGGAGCAGCGTGGGCACCGGGCACCCCCGGAGCATCCTCCCCGCCAAGGGCACCCAAACTCTTCTTGGGACCCAAATTCCCACAGGGTGACGGCGTGGGCCAGGGTCACCGTGTCACCGCCGCGTGTCCCCCTCCCCAAATCCCCCCCCCCCAGCATGTCCCACTCCCGCTGCGCACCCCCCACGGGTGACCCCCCTTCCCCACGCATGCTCCCCCCAAAAAATCCCACAGCGGGAGCAGCCCTGGGGAGGTGGGGGGGGGGACGCACGGGAGGTGGCTGCCACCCCGGAGGGGGGGGTGGCAGCGGGTCCCCGCGTGTCCCCGCTGCCTGCCGGGGGGGGACCGCGTCCCGCTGCCCGGGGGGGGGGGGGCGCTCACCTGCGCGGGGCGGCGGCGGGAGGGCGAGCGGCGGCGGCGGCGGCGGGCCGGGAGCGGAGCGGGGTGGGGGCAGCGGAGCCGCCGCTATAAATAACATTATCGGGACATTCCTTGGGCTCCAGCTGATAGCCCGCTGTCCTGCCCCCCCCCGGGAGGGCCAGGCGGAGGCGGGCGGGCGGGGACGGGCCGCCCGCCCCGCAATGCAGCACAGCGACCCCCCCGGCCGCCGCCGCCACCGGCACCGGCACCGGCACCGGCACCTGGCGGCGCGGGGCGGCGCAGCGCAGCGCCACGGACCCGCCGGCAGCGGGGGGACCCCCCAACAGGGCTGGGTGACCCCCCCCGGTTAGCACCGGGTGACCCCCCCCGGTCCCCCAGGTGGCTCGAGGTAGCCCTGGGCGCCCCCAGCCGGCTTGGGGTGCCCCCAAATAGTCCTGGTACACCCCCAGTTAGTCCTGGGTAACCCCCCAATTAGTCCTGGTACCCCCCCAGTTAGTCCTGGGTACCCCCCCCCATTAGTCCTGGTGCCCCCCCAATTAGTCCTGGGTACCCCAGTTAGTCCTGGGTACCCCAATTACCCCTGCACCCCCCAATTAGTCCTGGTACCCCCCCCCAGTTAGTCCTGGGTACCCCTAATTAGTCCTGGGTGCCCTTGTCCATAAGACCTGGTACCCCCCCCCAATTAATCCTGGTACCCTTCTCCAATTAGTCCTGGGTGCCCCCCCCCCAGCTACCTCTCACTAGTCATGGGTACCCCCAAACAGATTGGATTGTCCCCAATTAATCCTGGGTACCCCCCCCAATTAGTCCTAGGTGCCCCCCCAATTAGTCCTGGGTGCCCCCCTCCCAGTTAGCCCTGGGGGGTGTCCCCCTGTAACCCCCTCCCCAGGTACCTTGCACTAGCCCTGGGCAACCCAGCCGGCTTGGGGTGCCCCCAAATACTCCTGGTACCCCCCCAGTTAGTCCTGGTATCTCCCCAATTAGTCCTGGGTACCCCTAATTAGTCCCGTGTGCCCCCCCAGTTAGTCCTGGGTGCCCCCAAATAGCCCTGGTACCCCCCAATTAGTCCTGGGTACGCCTAATTAGTCCTGTATGCCCCCCCAGTTAGTCCTGGTATCCCCCCAATTAGTCCTGGGTACCCCCAATTAGTCCTGGTACCCCCCAATTACTCCTGGCTCCCCCTAATTAATCCTGGCTGCTCCCCCCAATTAGTCCTGGCTCCCCCTAATTAGCCCTGGTACACCACTAATGAGCCCTGGGTGCCCCCAAATAGTCCTGGTCCCCCCAATTAGTCCTGGGTACCCCCTAATTAACCCCGGGTGCCCCCCATTAACCCTGGGTGCCCCCACAGGGCTGCGCTCCCCCTCCCCGCTACAGGGGGGCGGGGCTACGATTGGCCACGCCCCCTTCCAGCTCAAGCCCCGCCCACTCGCCCCAATAACCCCGCCTATTCGCACAAAGCCACGCCCATCGCTACTCGCCCCACCCCCTCGGCGGAAGTCTCGCGAGAGCGGCGGCGGCGGGCGGGATGTGCGGGGGCTGTGTGGGCACCGAGTTCCCCGAGCGGGTACAGTGGCGGGTGGAGGGGCTGAGGGGGAGGGGGGGCTGTGCGTTACATTGCCGTTACGGGGCCGTTACGGGGCCGTTACGGGACCGTTACGGACCGTTACCGGGCCTCTGGGTGCCTCCCCACAGGGCACCACCTGCCTGGAGGGCGGCTCCTTCCTGCTCAACTTCGTGGGCTGCGCGCAGTGCGGCCGCCGCGACCTGGTGCTGCTGGGCAACCGCGCCGCCGGCCTGAGGGGGGACGACGAGATCGTCACCTACGATCGTGTGGGGCCGGGGGGGGGGGCTGGGGGGTACTGGGGAGGGGTCCTGGGGGCATGGGGAGGGGGCTTGGGGGGTCCTGGTGCTCTTTGGGGGGGGTATTGGGGGGTCCTGGTGCTCCTTGGGGGAGTATTGAGGGGTCCTGGTGCTCAGGGGGGTTATTTGGGGAGGGTCATATGCTTTAGGGGGGGGTGTTGGGGGCATCTGGTGCTCTTTGAATGGGGTATTGGGGGGTCCTGGTGGTCCTTGGGGGGGTACTGGGGGGTCTGATGCTGTTGGGGGGGTATTTGGGGGGGGTCCTGGTATTCTGGGGAGGGCATTGGGGGGTCCTGATGCTCTGGGAGGTCATGGGGAGGGGGGTCCTGGTGCTTTTTGCAAGGGGTTATTTGAGGGGTCCTGGTGCTCTGGGGGGTTATCTGGGGAGGGTCTTGTGCTTTAGGGGGGTATTGGGGGTCCTGGTGTTCCTTGGGGGGGAGGTATTGAGGGCCCTGGTGCTCTTTGGGGGAGTATTGGGGGGTCCTGGTGCTCTTTGGGGGAGTATTGGGGGGTCCTGGTGCTCTTTGGGGGAGGTATTGGGGGTCCTGGTGCTCCTTGGGGGGTATTGGGGGGTCCTGGTGCTTTTTTGGGGGGGTTATTGGGGGCTTCTGGTGCTCTGGGGCGTTATTTGGGGAGGGTCGTATGCTTTAGCAGGAGTATTGGGGGGGTCCTCGTGCTCCTTGGGGGGGTATTGGGGGGGTCCCCGTGCTCCTTGGGGGGGTATTGGGGGGTCCTGGTGCTCCTTTGGGGGGTATTGGGGGTCCTGGTGCTCTGTGAGGTCATGGGGGGGTCCCTGGTGCTCTTTGGAAGGGGTTATTGAGGGGTCCTGGTGCTCTGGGTGGTTATGGGGTATCTGGTGTTCTGGGAGGTTATTGGGGGGGTGTCTTGTGCTTTGAGGGGGTATTGGGGGGCATCTGGTGCTATGGGGGGTCATGGGGGGGTCCTGGGGGGGTCCTGGTGCTCTGGAGGAATAATCTGGGGTGGGGGGGTCCTGGTGTTGTGGGACGGCTCCTTGTGGAGGATCTGATGCTCTGGTGGGTTACTGCAGGTTATTTGGGATTGGGTGAGGGTCTGGGGGTGGGTTGTGCTCGGGGACCCACCCTGGGGACTGGGGGGGGGGCAGGGGGGTGTCAGCCCTTCAGGTGGGCACGTCCCCTGAGCTGCTCCCCCCCCCCGCAGACCTGTGCAAGAACTGTCACCACCTGATCGCGCGCCACGAGTACACCTTCAGCGTGGTGGATGACTACCAGGTACGGCCCCACGGGGGTCCCCATCCTCACAGGGGGGTCCCCAGCAGCCTCTCCCCGGGCTCCAGAGGCGCCGTGAGCCCTGCTGCTGCCCTCCTGCCCCAGCAGCCGCAGGAGGGAGCTGCGCAGCTTCGGAGGTGAGCGCCTCGAGGGCAGCTCGGGAGCTTGGCAGGAGCAGGAAACAGGAGCCTCGGGCTCACCGCGGCGCTTCCCAGCCCTTCCTCCCTGGCACATTTCCCATTCGGCTGCTTAAACGCTGGAAAATGGGCTCTGGGGAAATGGGGTCCCAGGGGGGGATGAAACTCAATCCGCCGCGGTCCGATTGCAATCGGGGGATCGGGTGCCGGCCCCAGCTCCGGCTCGGGTTTCCCCAGCGGCGTTGAGGAGTCGGGGAGGGTCCGAGCAGCCTGAGAGCCCCCCGCGGCCTGTGTCCTGCTGCAGGAGTACACCATGCTGTGCCTGCTGTGCGGCCGGGCCGAGGACTCCATCAGCATCCTGCCTGACGACCCCCGCCAGATGACCCCGCTCTTCTGAAGCCCGTGGAGCTGTGGGACCGCGCTGCTGGTGCTGGGGGGCCTCGTTCCTGCTCCTGTTCAAACCTCCAGCCTGGGTGTGGATGCTGCGTCCTCTGCTCCAGCCCCGTGCTGCTGCCTCCTCCTGAGTCCCTCCTTGCACTGAAGAAAGGGAGGGGGCCCAGAAACCCACCCTGAAATGGCTCAGGGTGGCACAGCCACCTCGTCCCACCCCAAAGGGGCCCGTGTGGGCAATAAATGTGAGTGTGTAACAGCTCGGTGCTGTAGGCTGGGGAGCTTTGGGATCGTTCCCCATGCGTGGATGGGGACAGAAGGGGGTGGGGGTGCTTTTCAGCTCCCTGAGCCCCTCCAGCAAAGGGAGCCGGGGATGGAACGACCTTTTTTCCCTTCCCACCACCCTTCCTTGTGTCCCAGGCACACACGAATCCTCCCAAACCCCACACCTGAACCATTTACACAGCAGGATCGTTGTCCCCCACCCCCCCCCCTGCTCTGGGCTGCGCATTCCTGGGCAGGGCAGGGCAGGCAGCGCACAGCTCACCTTGGGGCTGCCAAAATTGTTCCTTCCCCCCCCCCCCCCCCCCCCCGCAGCGGGGTTGCAAACCGTGCCTGGCTCTTATCGACCCCACACAGCCGCTCCCCGGCCCCAGCTGCCCACCTGGGGGGACACAAATAGGGTTGCTCGGGCGCTGCCTCCAGCTCCTTTATTGCAGCCGACCCCATTTGGGCGCCGCCACCCCGGTGGCCCCGGCTCACCGCCACATCGGGCCCCCTCCCCGCTGGGGGTTTCAGAGGGGGCCGTCACCCTGCGGAGGGCCGGGGCCGTCCCCGGGGTAGGGGGGGCGACCCTACTTGGCCAGCTTGAGGAGGCGCTGGATGTCGGGCTCCAGCTGGGCGGTGGGCAGGCGGGGGCTGTAGCGGCGGAAAGGTTCCCCCTCGGGCCCCACCAGGAACTTCTCGAAGTTCCAGGAGATGTCGGAGCGCCGCACGGGGCTCCACACCACGAAGCGGGGCTCGGCTCATCAGGTGGTCGGGTTCGTCCACCGGGGCGGGCAGGTGGGCTTTCAGGTAGGCGAAGACGGGGTGGGTGTCCTGCCCGTTCACCTGGCACTTCTGGAACAGGGTGAAGTTGGGCTCGAAGCCGCCCCCCGGCCGCACGTGCTTCAGGCAGTTGAGGATCTCCTCGTTGGTGCCGTTCTCCTGGGACGGGGGGGAAGGGGACAGCGGGGTTGCTGCCGCCGTCATCCCAAACGCCCCTCATAACCCACCCCCCCAACCCGTGCCGGGCACCTACCTGGTAGCCAAATTGGTTGCAGGGGAAGCCCAGCACCACCAGCCGCCGCGGGTAGCGAGCCTGCAGCTGGTTGAGCTGGGTGTAATCCCGCACCGTGGTGCCTCAGAGCGACGCCACGTTCTCGATGAGGACCACGCGGCCCCGGAAGACGTTGAAGTCCACCTTCTCCCCCTGCAAGGAGGTGGCGCTCAGGTCGTAGAAGGACTTGGCCACGGGGACGCTCATGGCTGCGGGCGTGCTCCGGCTCTGCTGCCTGCCCGCCCGCTGCCCGCCTGCCTTAATGGGGCCGCCCGGCTCCCACGTGATGCCACCAAAGTCCCCGCGCCCCGCCGTGACTTGGCAGAAACCGGAGCCGTCCCACCCGCTGGCACCGGCCCAAGGGGACGAGGAAGAGGCAGAGGAAGGCCGGGGCGATGCTCCAAGCTGCCTCAATAATTCACAGCGCCGTGGGGTGGGGCACGGGCGCTGTCCCCGTTGGGGAAAGGGTGCCCCACACAGCTGGGGCGCATGGGAGATAACGGGGTGCTGGGTGTGCCCGGGGAGGGACGGCTGCCTCCACGCCTCCCCTTCCCCAGCCTGCTGGGACCAGTTGGCCTTGTCCCAGGTGCCCACCAGTAGGCTGGTACCCACTGGTGCCCACCCATCCCAGTAAGGAACGGCATCCCAGTTCCCACCCATCCTGGTGCCCACCGCCACCCCAGTGCCCGCTGTTCGATGTCCCTGCGTGCCCCCCGGCCGTGTCCCCAAGCCAGGAAAGGGGACACCAGCCCGGCCCCTCCATTATTCATCGCCGCTCGGGTTGCCGTGCCCTGGCTGGTGCCGAGGACGCCGCGGTGGCACTGCCGGGGTGACGCCTGTCCCGGTGGCACCAGACGAGCCAGCTGGGGAGGTGTGGGGGGGCTCCAGCATCTCCTTTATTGTGGAAACCGAGTGTGCAAAACCGGGGGGCGGGAGGGGGGCGCGGGGTGTGCAAACAGCGCCTGGGACCCCCCCCCCATGCACGCCAAGCTCCCCCCCCACCCCCTCCCCAAAACGGGTCTGGCGGCGGCGGCGGGGAGCCGGGGGGGTTGTGTGTGTATGGGGGGGTGGAGGAACGAACGGGCTTCAACACCAGCAGCTCTTGGGGCTGTCCTGCCCCCCCGGGGGCTGCTGCTCGTCCTCCTCCAGCCGGGCCAGGTCGGGGGGGGCGGCGGCGGCGCGCAGCCCCGCCAGCTCCTTGCGGTGCGCCTGCAGCACCAGCTCCGTCAGCCGCGTGAAGGACTGCGGGGAAAGAGCGGGGTGAGCCCCGGGGGGGGGGGGTCCGGGAAGGAGACGGGGGGGGGCACCCCCCTGGCTGCCTCCCTCCTTTTTTCCTCCCCCCTCTGCTTTGTCCCCGCGCACCTCCTTGATGTTCAGGTTGCTGCAGGCACTTGTTTCGTAGAAGTCCATGCCGTACTCCCTGGCCAGCTGCAAGGCGAGGGCTCGGCGGCGCCGATGTGATTTTGGGGGGTGGGGGGGGGGGTTCGCCCCCTCAACCCCCCCCCCTGCTTCCAGCCTCCCCCCTCCAGCCCCTCTGCTCCCCGCTGGCACAGTGGACAGACGGACGGCAGCGGTCCCGTGGGGTGCGACCCCAGGGCCACGTGCTGGGTGCCGTGGGGGGACAGGGGGGGCATTTGGGGGGGGCACTCGGGCATTTTGGGGGGCAGACAGGGGGTCCTGGCCACGCTGGAGGTTCAGGAGGGGCTCTGGCTACAGGGGAGAGCGCAGGGGGGTCGGGGTCCTTGGCCATGCTGGGAGGGAGCACGGGCGGCCTGGGGTTGCTCAGGGTGCAGGAGGCCCTGGGGGGGGCACCGAGCTTTTTTTTTGAGGGGGGGGCGGCCATGCTGGGGGTGCCTGCCCCCCCCCAGCTCACCTGCAGCCCTTGCTCTTTGGCCACTTGCCTCTTGTGCTCCTCGTCCGCCTTGTTCCCGATGAGGATTTTCTGGACACCGTCGGGTGCGTACTGGCAGGGGGGGGGTGCGTGCATCATCATCCCACCCCCCCCCCCAAATAAAACCAGCGTGTCACCGCCTCGGCGACCCCCCCAAACCCCCACCTCATCCACGTCGCTGCGCCACTTGACGATGTGCTGGTAGGAGCGCTCGCTGCCGATGTCGTACACCAGGAAGATGCCCTGCGGGAGAGGCGCCGGGGAGGGGGGGGGGGCAGCGTTTCCCCCCCCTCCTCAGCCCCCCCCCGCCTCAGTTTCCCCCCGCCGTGCCCCTACCTGCGCCCGCCGGTAGTACTGCTTGGTGATGGTCTGGTACCGCTCCTGCCCCGCCGTGTCCCTGGGGATATGGCGGGGTCGGGGGGGCCCCATCGCTCTCTCCAGGCCCCGACCCCACCCCGGGGGGGGCACAACAGGGGGGTGCGGCCCCCCCCGGCACTCACCAGATCTGGATGCGCACCTTGATGCCGTCCACCTCGATGGTCTTCATCTTGAAGTCCACGCCTGGCCAGGCCGGGGGCACATGGTTTGTTTTTATTTGGGGGGGGGATTTGGGGGCAGGGCTCCGCTCTGTGCCCCCCCTCCCCACTCCCTCCCGGTGCACCCCCCCCGGCCCACGCGGTGCCTCCCCGGTTCCCCCCCCCCCCCCCCCCCGGTGCCGGAGCTGTGCGATGCCCCCGGTTCCCGGCCGGGCTCCCCGCCGCCTCCCCGCTGCCGCCGCTCCCCGCTTTTCCGCTTCCCAGGTGCCCCCAGCCGCCGGCGGTGCCCCCGTTTCCCCATTTTCCCCGGCTCTCCCATCCCCGGTGTCCCCGTTTTCCCAGCGCGGCGCCTCCCCGGTGCCCGCGGCTTCCCCGGCTCCGGGGCGCGGCGGCGGCGGCGGCGGCTCCCCGGTGGTGCCGCGATGCTCCCGGTTCCCCGTTTTTCCCTTTTTTTTTTTTTTTTTTTTTTGGGAAAACAGCTCTGCGGCTCTCCCGCTGCCCCCCGTTCCCCGCTGCTCGCCGCTCCCCCGCGTCCCCCCGGGGCCGGTACCGATGGTGGAGATGTGCGCGGGGTGGAACTCGTTGTCGGTGAAGCGGCAGAGCAGGCAGGTCTTGCCCACGCCCGAGTCTCCGAGCAGCAGCAGGCGGAACAGCACGTCGTACTGCTTGGCCATGGCGGCCCCGCGCCGCCGCCGCCGCCGCCGCCACCGCCGTTACCGGGGGCGGGTTCCTGCGCCGCAGCTCCGGGCGGCCGGGCTGGCACCGGGGCGGAGCGCGGGGATGCGCCGGGGGGACGCGGGGATGCACCCGGGGGGACACCGGGGGGACACACCGGGAGGCACCGGAGGGGGCACCGGGAGATGCCCCGAGGCACCGGGAGGCAGCGCGGGGCTGTAACGGGGGTCGGGGGAGCTGGGGACCGGAGGGGGGCATCGGGGCTGGAGGAGGGGATGGGGGTGACGGGGGGGATGCAGCTGGGGGGATGCAGGGATGCAACGGGAGGTACCCGGGAACACCGGGAGGTGCCCCAGGGCATGGGGGTGAACCAGGGGGGCTACGGGGAAGGGGACGCGTGGGGATGTGTTGGGGGGGACACCCAGGCATGGAGCTGGGGACACTTGGGGGTGGGCTTTTGGGTGAGGGGCACAGAGCAGGGCAGCGTGGGGCAGCCCCACGTGCAGTAGGGCCTGGGCAAGGGCCTCGTGGTGTGGTGCAGCCCGGTGGTGGCACGAGGAGACGGAGCAGGGCAGCGGTGGTGCAGCCATGCAGTGGCGTGGGGCAGAGGCATGGTGCAACGAGGCAGGGCTGCACGCAGCAATGCAACGCCACCAGGACAGTGGCGTGGGGAAGCGTCGTGCTCAGCGATGCAGCAGCGCAGCACAGGGCAGTGACACCGTGCAGTGAGGTCATGCAGTGGGGCCACCCCGCAGCACCATGATGTGCAGGTGCAGCGCACAGCAACACAGCAGAGCGAACGCGGTGCCCCAGCAGTGCAGCACGACGCCGTGGTGCCATTGCACGGTGGTGTGACACAGCGCAGCAGTGTGATGGTGCAACATGGAGCAGCCATGCAATGGCGCAACGCGGTGCAGCCGTGCAATAGTGCAATGTGGTACTAGTGCAATGCGGTGCAATACTGCAAACATGCATCGTGGAGCATCTGTGCAACAGCGCAACACAGTGCAGCTGCACAATGGTGCAATGCGGCACAATAGTGCAATGCGGCACAATATTGCAAATGCACAACACAGTGCAGCTGTGCAATGCTGCAACGTGGCACAGCAGTGCAATGCAGCACAGCAGCGCAATGTGGTGCAGCAGCATGCAATGGCACAACACGGTGCAGCTGTGCAATGGTGCACCATGCCCTGCAGTGCAATGGTGCACCGTGGTGTGGCAGCGCAATGGCGCAACACGTGCAACGATGCAGCTGTGCAACAGTGCAATGTGATGCAACAGTGCAATGTGGCGGAACAGCACAAATGTGCAACATGGAGCATCCATGTGGCATTGCAACACAGTGCAGCTGTGCAATGGTGCAACATGGTGCAGCAGTGCAACGGCGCAATGCGTTGCAACTTGGTGCAACTGTGCAATAGTGCAACGTGGTGCAACAGTGCAACACGGCGCAGCAATGCAACGGCACAAGCTACTGCAGCCGTGCAACGGCGCAAGAGCGCGCCGCGGCGCCGCATCGCGATGTCGCGACAGGCTCCGGCGACACGCGGCCGCCGCGCGGCCCGCCATGACGTCACGGCCTCCTTCGCGCGCGCGCGCCGCTCCCGGAGCCGGGCGGTGGCGGGGGAGGGGGCGTGGCCAGAGGGAAGGGGGCGTGGCCAAGCGGGGGGCGTGGCCAAAGGCGTGGAGGGGGCGTGGCCGCGTGTTCCCGCCCGGCCGCCGTCGCTCGGTGCCGCTGCCCCCGCCCGGGCCGGCCGCAGCATGGCGGGAGCCTGGCCACGGAGCCCCGGCGGGCGGCGGCGGCTGCGGGACGATGGTGTGAGGACACACACCTCGTGCGAGCAGGTGCCGGGGGGGCTGGGGGCACGGGCACGGGCTGGGGGGCGGGGGTGAAGGGGGTGAAGGGGTTTGGGGCTGGGGATAAAGGGGGTGGGGGGGGCTGGGGGGTTGGGGTTGGGGGGCTGGGGGGTTGAGGGGCATGGGGAGGGGGCTGGGGGGGCTTAGGGGGCTGGGGGGGGTTGGGGTTGGGGTCTGGGGGTTGAGGGGCATGGGGAGGGAGTTCGGGGGTCTTGGGGGCTGGGGGGTTTGGGGTTGGGGATTTGGGGTCTGGGGACCATGGGGTTTGGGGTCTGGGGTCTGGGGGCCAAGGGGTCTGGGGGCTGGGGATAAGGGGGTGGTGGGCTGGGGGGGGTTGGGGTTGGGGGTCTGGGGTCTGGGGACCAAGGGGTTTGGGGCCGGGGAGGGCTGGAGGTAGGGGGCTGGGGGCTGGGGGGGCTCAGGGTTGGGGGTCTGGGGCTTGAGGGGCGCTGCAAGGAGCTGGGAGGGCAGGGGGGAAGGGTGAAGGGTCTGGGGAGCCTGGAGCCGGGAGTCCCAGCTCCCAGGGGTGTTGGGGCCGGGTACAAGGGGAACAGGGGGGAACGCGCCCCACACCCCACTCCTGGGATGCCCCCCTCGGGGTGAAAGGCGCCGCTGTTTTAAACCCCATCTGCGCCTCTTGCCTCAGTGCCCTCAGCCCCCGGGACGCGGTGTGGGGCGGGGTGGGTTCCGCGAGGCTTTGACCTTAAACCCAAAACGGGTGGAGCTGCTGGAAGGCGCCGCGGGGCCGGGTTACAGGGTGGCAGCTCCTGGCGGGGCTGAGCCCGGTGCTGGCGGTGCCCGCAGAGCAAAGTGGAGGAGGTGGTGCAGGAGGTGTTCGACGCCTACAAGACCAACCACCACGCTGCGCAGTAAGTCCCCGCGCTGGGGAGTTGGGATCAGGATAAAAAAAAAAAAAAGCCCAAATTCTGGCTCTGGTGGCTAAAGGGTCCCCGGGGCTGGAGCTGGCGGCGCTGCGACGCCCTGCCTGCCTTGCAGATTGGTGCTGCAGCGGGAGAAGCACTTCCACTACCTGAAGAGAGGCCTCCGGCAGCTGAGCGAAGCCTACGAGGTACCAGGCACGGCCCCGGCGTCCTGCCCCGGGGCTCCCCTTCGGCCTCCGGGCGCTGCTTGAATTATCCCCGGGTGTTTCCCACCCCGAATCCCTCGCTGTTGGGTGGCCCTGGGGCAGGTGGAGAGGTGGAGCGGTTCCCGGTGCTGCTTGCGGGTCCCCTTGGCTCGTGCCTGTCCCCACGGGGTGCCCCAGAGCTGCGGGTTTTGGGTGCTGCCAGCCCAGCTCCCCTCCTCCTGTCCCCGCAGTGTCTGGACGCCAGCCGCCCCTGGCTCTGCTACTGGATCCTGCACAGCTTGGAGCTGCTGGAGGAGCCCATCCCCGACGCCGTCGCCTCTGAGTAAGTCCCCCCCCTGGGTCCTGGGGGGCACCGGGACCCCCGCCCCGAGCTGTGTCCGACTCGCAGCTGCGCCCACGTGAGCCCGGAGGTGCCCGCTCCCGTGTCCGCCAGGGCCACCTCCCGCCATCCTCGTGGCCCTGGCGCCGGCACAAAAGTGCTTTGTGTCCCTCGGGGCCATCAATGCCACCATTCTTGCTGGCCGGCACGGCTCGTGCTGTCTCGTGACAGAGGGGGGAGATGGGGGACCTGGCTTCCACCTCCTGGGGGGCACGGCGGGGCTGTCCCCTTCTCCCTCGCTCAGGTGGGGGACCCGTCGCCCACGGCGGTGGCTTCGTCCTTCAGCCTACCCCACCTGGGTGGCCGTTTTGGGGTCCCCCTCCCCAGCTGTTCCTCTCGTCCCCGCAGCGTCTGCCAGTTCCTGAGCCGCTGCCAGAGCCCCCACGGCGGCTTCGGGGGGGGCCCCGGGCAGCACCCCCACCTCGCCCCAACCTACGCCGCCGTCAACGCGCTCTGCATCATCGGCACCGAGGAGGCGTTCGGCGTCATCGACAGGTACAGCGGGGGGGCCGGCATGGCACGACGTGGGGCGCGCGGGTGTCGCAGCGGGTGGGGGCCAGCTCGGTGCTGCCCCACGTCCCCACATCCCGCAGGAAGAAGCTCCTGGAGTACCTGCAGGCGCTGAAGCAGCCCGACGGCTCCTTCCTCATGCACATCGGCGGCGAGGTGGACGTCAGGTGGGTGAGCGCCCCGCAGCGCATCTCTGCCCCATTTCCCCTCCCCAATGCGGTGTGGGGTGAGCCCCACGGAGCCCCCCCGGGGGCTGTGGGGATGGGGCGGGCGCCCCCCGCAGCCCCCAGCCCCTTTTCCCACAGGAGCGCCTACTGCGCCGCCGCGGTGGCGTCGCTCACCAACATCCTCACCCCTGCGCTCTTCGCCGGGACGGCTGAGTGGATCGCCAGGTGAGGAGCCGGCCGGGGGGGCGCAGGGGACGTTGTGTCCCCCCTGCTGTGGGTGCCGTCCTCATTGTCACCCCTGTGCAGGTGCCAGAACTGGGAGGGAGGCATCGGCGGGGTGCCGGGCATGGAAGCCCACGGCGGGTACACCTTCTGCGGCGTGGCGGCGCTGGTTATCCTGAAGAAGGAGCAGCTGCTGAACCTGCGCAGCTTGCTGGTGAGCGTTTTGGGGGCGCCCCGGGGTGCTGGGGGGGGATGTCCCCGTCCTCCACGGTGTCACCCGCTCCCCTCTCTGTCCCCCCCGCAGCACTGGGTGACCAGCCGGCAGATGCGCTTCGAGGGCGGCTTCCAGGGCCGCTGCAACAAGCTGGTGGACGGCTGCTACTCCTTCTGGCAGGCCGGGCTGCTGCCCCTGCTGCACCACGCGCTGCACGCGCAGGGTGAGCCGGGGCTGTGGGGAGGGGAGAAGTACCCGGTGGGCTCCCCAAAGGCTTTTGGGGCAGAAACGGGCTTGTGGGCAAGCATTCTGGTGTTTCCTGGGGCGGGGGAGGTTTGCTCTCGTCCTGAGGCCAACCCCGGAGGTGTTTCAGCGCCCGCCTTGCCCCCGCAGACGACGCGGCGCTGGCATGACGCGCTGGATGTTCGACCACCAGCGCGCTGCAGGAGTACATCCTCCTGTGCTGCCAGTGCCCGGCCGGCGGGCTGCTCGACAAGCGGGAAAGTGAGTATCGAGGCGGGGTGGGGGCAGCCTCGCGCCCCCCAGCCCCGTTAACTCAGCGCCCTCGGTTCCCCCCCCCGCCAGGTCCCGGGATTTTTACCACACCTGCTACTGCCTGAGCGGGCTGGCCATCGCCCAGCACTTCGGCAGCGGCAACCTCCACCAGGAGGTGGTCCTGGGAGTCCCCGAAAACCGCCTGGTAGGTGCTGGCATCGCTTGGGGGGGTGCCGAGGGTGGGGAGGGCACCCCCCCGGGCCTGTCTCAGGCGCTTTCTCCTCCCCTCCGGCAGCCCACGCATCCCGTCTACAACATCCACCCGGAGAAGGTGGTGAAGGCGGTGCTGCACTTCTCGCAGCAGCCCGTGCCCGGCCTGGAGGTGGCGGGTAAGGGGCCCCGCTCCTTTCGGACGGCGCGGCCGAGCAGAGCGAGGTCCTCAGGGTGCTAGCCAGACCAAAAAAAAAAAGCTGCCGCCCTCCCGGCGGGAGCTGAGGGCACCAATAAAAAGCAGAGCTGCCGCCCGCCCTCGGCTTGCGTGGGGCGAGGGGGAGCGCGGAGCCAGCCCCAACCCCGACGCGCAGGGAGCTGCGGACCCCCCGCAAGAGAGGCAGCCACCACGGGGAAGGATAAAATAAGTTTTTTTGTTTTTATTTTTATAGTCTTATAGTAAAGGGAAGCCTTAACTTGCAAGACGACTCTGGGCAGTATGTACAACATACTTTTAGATCCATGGAAGAACGGCGTTAAAGGGGTGGGGGAAACGGGACGGGGA